CCTCGTCAAATCTTACAAAAGATTTGAGCTTGCAGGTCTCAGCCTCTCAAATTCCTAGTTTCTCAGTGGCTTACAGTCAGGTGTGAATTTAAGCTTAGAGGAGAACCAAACTCACCCTAGTCTGGGATCCCGAGTAATTCTCCTTCGCCATCTGCCACCCTACTTCTTAAAATCTTTTGTCTTCCTCTTCATCCAAGACCTGTCCATCTCTGCATCCTCCTTTTCCCTGGCAGATGCAATGCCAGCAGCAATCAGCTATGTGCCGGGCCATTGCCTCCTGCTGCATCTCAGGGCTGTGCTAGGCTGCTCCCAGTCCTGAACCACAAAAACATGGAGACCCTGCCTTAATCTACTGCTATTTTCAATGCATGTTCAGAAAAGCCCCTATATTAGGACAGCAAAAGCCAGGGGAAAGGATCCTGACAAATTTCTAGATCCTCGGAAGTAGGATGGCAAGCAATTCTGCGGTGCAAAACTGGGGATGCTGACAGAAATGAAAGGTAAAAGAAAGGAAATTGGGAAAAGTAAGAGGAAATATAAGGAAAAAACCTTCTCCTAAGATGGGTATGAGAGGAAAAAGGCAGCCCAGGAGCAAACAGCAAAGGGAGAAGGCAGAGCGAGGAAGCAACGCAGTGCCAGAACTGTCTGGCAGAAGCTTGTCCACTGCCTGTGCCCTGCCTCACTTTGCTGTCAGCTTTTCATTTTTGCAAGCATTGAAACTGTGCTTAACTCTCATGCGCTGTTCAGATATAACAAGCTGGAAAGGGAACAGATCAGCTCGTTAATTTTCCTTGGGAAGGGTCTCTAGGCAGGAATTATTTTCTGCACCAACATCCATTCAATTACTTGCCTTCACACCAGTCAGATCTACAGGGATGTCTAACCCCATGCGCATCACTCATGCCTGCCTGCCCTGTACTCTTCTCTCCCTCCTTCTCAGTATAAAAGCCTCCCAGACCTATCCCTTTCCTAATAATAATGACAACATGACAAAACCAATAACCTACAGATATAAAATACATTTCATTTGCTTGCTTCATAAGACCCTGATAAGGCATCGTCGCTCACTTTTTGAGATCCTGTAGGATATCTACAGGAGCTAAAGAAAGAATTAGACAAGGCATCACTCATAATAAAAAGTGGTTTTAAAGCATTTGGTGCCAAGAAGGAATTAGGCTGGAAGATCTGCAGCCATTTCGAAGTTGTGAGAGGTGCAGTGTCCATTCGTGGCATGAGCTTGCAGATCTCAATTGCTTGGTGTGCATTTGTGCTTTGTGCCTATGCAGTTAAAGGGCTGAGAAAGGCCATTTTTCTTGAAGAGCAAAGATTTTTGAGTGGTGTGGGAACACATTTGGGCAACCTCAAAGTCTAAGAAAGGATTATCTTGAGGAAGATTAGGAAAAAAATCAGAAGTGTGATCTGCAGTGATGTGAACCAACACCACCTTTTTCCTTTAGCCCCACAGTGGAACAGGGGCTCACTCTAGGACACAAGAAAATGGGTCAAGAAAGCACAACAGAGGAGGAACATCTCAAATGGCATTTCTCTTTGGAGCAATACAAAGATCTGAAAATGCTGACTGAAAGTCCACTGTGGGAAAGAGAATGACTGGAGAGAGGGGAATCTGAAAATTGAAAGCCTGGGGACCAAATTCTTCAAGAGGAACTTAAAATTCCGATCACAGTGCATCTGTGTGTACAGCCCAAGACTGAGTCTCCTTGTACATTTTTGCTATTGGATATCTTGTCCAAGAAGACGAAAGACAATTTAGCACAATATTTTGAACATGAGAAGTCCACCATCTCTGAGAGCCTACAGTGTTGACTAATGCTAGTATTCCCCCACATGCCCCCAAATGAAGACGATCTCATCAGAGGCTTCCTACCAATAGCAGAAGGTGGTTTGGGCTCCTTCTTTGATTATTTGCATGTTAAAAATCCTCCTGCCCTCCTGTTCACTACCGCCCCTCACCCTACAGATCTGCCTACTCCAAGCAGCAGAAGCCCATCTGTCCCACTGCCTTTCTCAGGTGCCTTTGCCACACCGTGGGCAGGGTGTGAGCAGACTCCAGGGGCTTTGTCCTTTTCACAGTCTCCTGGGACCAAGCCCTTCCCTCCACAAGTCTGCCCACCCTCTGCATCATGGGGGGAAGGAGTCTTCGCTGCACCCTTCTCCCTCCCACTCCCTGGCAGGCAGCTTTCACCAGGGAGATCAAGTCAACCAGGGACACCTTTCTGATTTCTTCTGCCGAGAAAGAAGACAACTTCCCAGTAAGTGGATCAGATGTGACGGTAAGAGGCCTGCCATGCCGGGGCTGATAGGGATATTTGACTGTGCTGTCCTGGGAGCAAGAAAGTGTCAGCCAGCAGCCCATGCAGGCTATGGGGCTGCAGGAAGACAAGCAGAGGCATCCTGGCAGTGGCGGTGCCAGACCTGGCCCACGAGACAAACCAATGCCCAGGCCCTGTGCAGCATGAGGCCATAGGGATGTTTTTTTCTCCTGATGCTACCTGGCCCTTGTTCAAGTTCTGGTGCAACCTGTGCTCTCAGGCTAGGGACTCGGAGCTAGGCTCAGCTCCTGTGCGATGCATCACATCCTCCCGCACTGCTCGCCACTTCTGCCCAGTGGCCAGGGGCTGGAGGAATGGGCCAACCCAACCTTCACAACGCTGGGGCAAGTCAGAGCACCTTGCCAGGGCCATGCAGCTTGCTCTTAAGCTGCATTTCTTACCCCTCCTGCAGGGCTGCAGCTTAAGCCCGCTGGAGAGCATCAAGAAGGGAGGGCAGGGGGACTGGGCTGGCAGTGCAGAGTTGCAGGGAACTGAGGGCACTTGGGGGCTTTTAACTGGAAGCATCCTGGCACTTTTCATTGCCATGCAAGCCACTTCTCCACAGTGCCTGTGGGGTCCTGTCAGATGTAAAGGAGAAGGAGCCCCGAGCTCCTCCGATCTGACAAACCTCACCCGCCCCTTCCTCCTCCCCCTCAGACCGCGTCCCTCTGGATACAGCTCTGTGGGCAGATAGACATGATCTGAATTCACTGTCTCTCCCGGCCGGGGTCTTCATACCTCCTGTCTCCACCCCAGCCTCCCTCCGCCTTCCAGCTTGGGGACATGGCTCAGGAAGGGAGTTCTTCCCCCCAGCCTCCCTTCCCCGCATGGCTTTGCATTTGGGCTTCCTTTTTTTTTTTACCCTTCCCTCTCTCATTAATTTTTAATTAAGGAGATGTCTCCTTCCCTGGTTGTAATTAATAACTGTGTGAAAGGCTTTTCATTTTTTATTAATCTATATCTCTATATATTTATCTATTTGGAGGAAACGTGTGCGTGTGTGTGAGTGAATGTGTTTAAAACATCCCCCATTAATTTACTGCTATTGATTTTCTGGCGTGGAGACAGCATATAGTATTCAGCATAGAGCTCCTCTGCAGGATATGTTAAAAGGCAGCAGTTTGGGTTGACAAAGGGCACTAAATGCAGTATGCGTCAAATAGACCATCGCTCAATGAAGTCACTTAGCTATTCAAAACATGTCCAGCCATCACTCAACCGTTTGCACCAAGAACGGGGGGAAATTCGCGCTTCTTCCCGGGCACAACGATTTCCAAACAGCAGTTTTAGCTTGCTTTGGTGAGAGACATTAGGACTTACATAGTTTATTCCCCCCTCCCCCTTGCCTTACATCTCCCAGTGCCAGTCTTAGAAAATCAGTTCTGCGGTACCCACTCCCCGTTCTCTCCCATCAGGGAGCTCCAGGCACACCCAGCTCTGGTGGACACCAACAGCCACAGACATTGCCTCTGGATGTCCATAAACCCCCGGCAGCCCACCTTCCAGCTGAGAGGCGATTCATAAACAGGGCTTTTACAATGGGCTGTAATGTGCGCTCTTGTGCTCTCGCACTCTCTCCTTCTCGCTACGTGTGTAACATAAACCACGCATATACATCGGTTGCCCCTATCCCTCCAGCACAGGCTGAAGACCACCTCCCCAGCCCACACGTACACCAATAGCAGTACTGAGCAACACATATTTAAAAGCGAATCACTGGCCCCTCTTTTCTCTTCCCCTCCCTTAGGAACGTCTGATTCCAGAAGTTGGCTGCGGCGGTGTCTCTTCTGCCATCAGACATGTCACTGAGTTGCTGTTCAGTTTCACCACATCAGACTTAGGCCGATTTTTCCATTCAGAGACTTGTTTATTTTTAGCCTTTACCATAAACCTTAAAAAAAAAAGCTCCCCAACCAAAAACCCACCCCCCAACAACAAACAAATGGGGGAAAAATTTCCAGCTCCAAACCAAGCCAATTAGCTGCCAACTAGATCCCTCTGCACCGAGCCCAGTGAGATGTGGTTGCTTACAGACATTACGAAATGCTCTGAACTCTGCTCAAGATGACTGGAATCTCTAGATTTACTGCACGAGGCATTTTGAACATGACAGGGTTGCTTCCCTTTCTCTCTTTCTCCATTCTAAAGTGAACTAATAATTGTATCTGAAGTGCTTTGCAGTCACCCCCTCCCAACATCACCCCTCACTCCCAGTCTTGTCTTTGCAAATAAGCCATTTGCAAAAGAGAGCAATTATTTCACTCTGTGGTTGCAGCCAGAGTACAGCAATAATACAGCATTTTGGCATCACTTTCCCAGGCAATACAAACAAGCTGAAGACAGGCAGACCTCACAGTTGCTTTTTGAAAGGGTCTCTCAGTGTTTTTGCAACACACACATTATTCCAGTTGCGGGAGGGAGGGAGAGTGAATTTTTTGGGGGGTGGGGGTGGGGTGGGGAAGAGGAAGGGAGAAGGGAATGGAGCAGAGAATGTTTTGCCTGTCTTCTTGCCTCTGTGCCCTGAGTAACTGAGCCCACTGCTCTCGATCTGTGGTGAAAGGAATGAAGTGAGAAAATGGTGGAATGTGGAGGGATTTATTGGTGGGGGGGAACATGGAGTGGTGGGAGAGGAAAGGCGGGGGGGTTGTGTGGAGATCCAGAATCAAATACCTTCCAGGCAGCAGGTTCTCCATAATCCAGAATGGGTCATGACTTCCTCGTTCTTTTTGCTGGTTTCGTTCTCACTGACAGTTTTAGTCTTGCAAACCCCTCTGGAGTAAAGCCAGTAGTCGGTCCCCACAGCTATGGTCATCAGGCTGAAGGCAGCGAAAGCACCAACGGTGGTTAAAAGCATCTGAACACCTCTGTCAAAGAGCCCCATAATTCTTCATTATACAAATACCCAACCGCCTTCTGATTCTTGGGGTGTGTGTGTTTAATAAAATAAAAGAATAATAATTCCGACTAATAATATAATGGGTATATATAGAGAGATAGATATCAAAAAAGGGAGGTAAGAAAGCCCACGGAAAAGAGTGTAAATTAGAAAGACCACACGGGAAGAGGCTTGCCTTTTAAATCAGAAACGTTCTGGTTGAAATATAAAAAAAGGAAAAAGAAAAAAAAAGAGAGAAAAGAACCAAGAAAAACCAAACAAATAAAGAGAGAACCCCCCCCAAAACGAGACGCCTTAATCCCTTTTTCTAAAATTCTGGTCTCCAGTTTCCATATGTAATGGCTAATTTGGAGATGGCTTCCACAGTGAACAGGGGAGCAGCAGCAGCATCCTCAACACAATCTCTCATTATCTGGACCTAGACAGTTAGAGACTGTAAGAGCAGAGATGCAACCTTCAGTCTTCTTGCTTAGCTCTGCAGCCTGCGCCATGAAAATCCTTTTCCTTCACAGTTATCTTCCTTGGTTTTTTTTTTTTTTTTTTTTCCCGGCAGCGGCAGTTGCTCCAATCCTCTTTCACTTTTTCTTGCTTGCTTCTCCTTCCTTTCGCTCGCTCCTACCACCAAGCCAGACTGCCCAGTATACTGTAAGCCCTTGATTTCAGCTGAACAGGTGCCGAGGTCTTGCCTCCCATGGCTTTTCTGCACAGCCGCGGCGCTCGCTCCCGGCGGAGGTGGGCGAGGAGAGAGGGGGGCTCCTGGGAAGAGAGGGA